ACAACAATAAGAGAAATTTTTAATTAATTTTCAAGTAAATAGAGGCCAATTACGTGTTTGAAAATCTCACAGTCAATCTTACAGTCTTTTTTGTATACGTAGATCTGCTAAGACAGAAAATGTTGCAATTTCAACGCTAATTGGGAAAAAAACGTATGTACTCGAGTTGGGAAATCCTAGCGAACGTCATTCCATGTTTAATGTATGGAAACTGTTTAATTACAATAATAGCTCGATCCCGGGGAATCATTCCACTATTAGTCAAAGTACATGACGTGATGTTGCTACGATTATTGAGGACTACGTACATTAGAATATCTGTGAATATAATGTGTTAATAGTAAACAAAAATGTGAATAACTAAAGTTAGTAGGTTAATGATGAGTTAATGAACAAGCGAAGATGCCTATTTATGCCTGTTCTGCGTAAGACACTATTTAGAAAAGGTAATTATACCGGTATGCAATCTCTCAGATAGTCATTTATTAGCATATGTATTTTAGTAGTTCTCTGACAATCAGATCCTTATTTTTTCCTATTATTTTCATCATTTCCTTATGATCTAACGCCTTAGGAGCAATGAAAAGTGGCTAATTGGCTATTAATTTTTGCGTTATTAACTTTTATGTGTCTCACACACACCAGCTGTACTGTTCTCGTTAACATTTGTATTATTTATGGTAGGAACTCTCTTATACTAATAATATGTACAAGAAAAATTTTGTTTAATGCATTTCGTTAACGTTATCATGACACTATGATGAACGATGAAAAACCACAAGATAATTATTTGCGCACAGAAATTATACAGGCCGTATATTAAATTATCAAGTTCCATTGCTTTCTCGCTTTTAGTTTCATTCGTCTTGATAATGATCTTATTGACGTACATTGCATGATTGCATCCTCGACTCGGAGAAAAGTGTTTCAGAGTGCACGCACTGTCGGGGACTCCCTCGGAAAATCCAAAAATCAGCGCATCGGCCGCATCATCGGCGCGGTGTGGCGCGCAACGCGCGGAGGAAATCGGTGGAGGTGGCACGTTACATAATTACATCAGGATCAAACGCGTAGCAGATAGATAACTATAAAAGCGGCGAGATTAAAGGATTGGCATGCAGTGCATCCTGGGAACATCGAATCCCGTCATCATGGCAGTTCGTGCTCTCAGCCTAGTGCTCCTTTTTACATTTGTCTCGGTCATCTTCGGATTGCCGACTACACCTGTGCCAGGTGAGAGAATAGATCATTCATTGCATATAGAATACTTGGTAATATGTAGCTGTGATTATATCTGATAAAAGTCTTTTTGTATATAATTATTACGTTTTATACTTTTTCGGAAGATTATATATCTTGACTTTATTAATTTATTTCAATTTTTCAATTTTTACATTTTAATAATAATTAAACAAATTTTAATATTTAATTCAATGTATTAACTTAAATTGTAATAATCTTTATATAAAAAGTTATATGATTATATTATATACAGAATTTCTATTAAACTGTCACTATAAATAATTCGCGATTTTTCAGATAAACTCTAACACTTGTAAGAGTACAAAGCTTAATAACGTAAATTTTTTTCTTTAAATAAACATTAATGTTTTAATGTTTTTTCGTACGGAATTATCACTTTGGACATATTCCATAGATAATCAATCGATACGTATTTATTCTAAACGTTTTATTTAATCTTATTTATACCTATTTTGATATTGTGTTTTGTTCTCTGTTTATTCTTCGCAAATTTGAATATTTCTTTGGAGACTTTGAAAAGCAGTGAGCTTTGTGATCTATCCAACAGATCTGTGCAACAGACAAGATCATGTATCTTCGAAAATAAAAATGATGTCAGAATGCACGCGTTGGCACATAAATCCAATCGCTAATTTAAAATTCTCTGCACGTTAATTTACGTCAATCGATGCGTCTTCCTATTTCTATTCACGTAATGATCAATTCATTTTTTTATGCGATTATTAGAACCAGCTGTAAATACACAAGAAGAACACACATTGTCGACCGAACTGTTACCGCCGCCCGTAGACGAAAAGGAACACCATGCTACAATCTATATAATTAATTTGTACGCCGTAAAAAATGGTAGCAGCAACGCATCGGAGGAAATGTTTCAAAATGAAGTCGTAGAAACGATACCTGACATATTGGGTGAGCGTAAATCAACGAACGACATATACGATGTCTCACATCTTATCGGGATATCTTTTAATAAGAAATTTAATTTGACGTTAATTAGCTACAAATTAAGGAGTATCTTATATAAGAAACGATAGGCAACGGGCCGAGCCGAGTGAAAAAAATTCTTAGAAGGGATTTGAATAAAAAATATATGCTTGCAGAGCCGCTGGTCTCCGTTCTCCTAGTAATAGACGACGATGAAAACGAAGAGTTAGAAAA